GCCTTTGTATCTTCTCACTATTTTGAAGGTCATAGTCTACAGGGAGAATTAGGACATTTATGACTAAATCCAACTAAGCTTCGATTTTTTGGTTAATTTGATGCTTCGTCCTTACGAATTTAATTGTATTATTTTTGAAGTAGGAAAATATCTTATATACATCTTTCCACAATGTGATCATTATTAATGCCACAAAACCAGGTTCAACCCACCAATTTTTCTTAAAATGTCCTGTACCAAGTCAGGAAAACGGCCATTGTTATATTATAGTTCGTTTCTGTGTGTTTTATATTTTAATGTTGTGTTTTTGTTGTGTCGTTGTTCTCCTTTTATATTTGATGCGTTTCCCTCAGTTTAAGTTTGTAACCCGGATTTGTTTTTATCTCTATCGATTTATGAGTTTTCGAACAGCGGTATACTACTGTTGCCTTTATTGAACACCAATACGCAACAATTTATTTTAAAGTTATTTACTAGCCGGCTTAGCATCTTCCAGATTTCTAGAACTAAGTATGAAGTTAATCGAACAATTTCTGTCCTTGACAGTGTATACAAATAACTGATTTTGCATACATCCACTTAGTATTTATTCCTACTGAAGTCGATATTAACGATTATGTCGTCAACAAAGATTTGATAATACAATGACTAATGTACCAATCAGTTTAATAGTAAGGTTGACAATGTAAATTAGAATTAACTATGTCTTATGATGAATGAAAGAAAAACACGATTAAGTGGTTTGCACCGTCGTGTTCATCTTGAGTAGCATACCCTATCTAAATAACAATAAGACAATAGTTCATTCTTTAGAAAACACACAGAAAGATACAGTCAAAGAAACAGTAATTAAATTATTATTTGTATTGTAATAATCAATACAAATTTAACACTAAAGACTAAGTTGTAATAACCTTCCGTTTTTTTCTACCATGGAAAATCACTGGGTGTATAGATATCTACAAGAAAGATGATTTCTTATTATGTCTCCGTTACATTACCATTTTTTCACAATTTACGAATCGTTATAGTCATCAGCGTTGTACCCAATTCGTAACATTAAATTAAGTCAGTGTAATAAAGTAAGCTATTTTCCTATTATTGAAACAAAAGATCTCGCTTCATGGGAACCCTACTTCAATACTGAATTTATTCGTGTTGCTCAGTCTTTATTTTTCTATGTTGTGTTTTGTATACTGTTGTTTGTCTTTTGGTGTTTTTTTCTTTTTTGCTATGGCGTTGTCCGTTAATTTTCTACTTATGAGTTTTAATGTCAATACGGTATCTTTCTCCTCTCTTTTAGCATAGTTTATTTGTAAATATTCCACGTAACGTTCAAATTTAAGGCAACACAGTCACAACTTTTAATGCTAACACCAAAGTCTTATAAGATTGATACAACAGTTGTCTAATAACAATCTGGATTGTGAAGTGATTTCTCTTGTTTTATAAATGATGTAATTTTTCAGGCGAAGGCTTTTTCCTATAAATTCTATTAAATTCTCACCATCTTTTTTTAGAAGCTGAACAGTTCGTAGTGATGAAAAATTGTTAAGTGTAAGGCAGAAATCATTAATAAAACTGTAATCGGTGGGAAATTAAATCAGTAACACATTACAAAAACAAGGCATGCATGAAAGCAGATAGCAGGATCAATAGAAAAATCCCGGGTTTTAGACCAAATGGTTTCCGTCTTTGTTCCTAATAAATGAAACAACAGAGATGTGATAGTATTTAATGTTTAGGAATGTAAAAAGATATGGCAATCATAGCGATAACTTTGTTGTTATTTTTTCTTAAGAGACATATCATTATTTTTGTAAGTTTATGTTTTATAGTTTGGAGAATTAAACATTTTATATAGAAATTAGAAAGTCGGTGTTATATCATCAAACAAACTTTACCACCATCATTATATCCTACCTACATTGAAAAGCATGAACAATTAACGTGAAAAACATAATCACTGAACTGCTGATTAAACTAATCATATCTAGAAAAAGATTAAAAAATAAGAACTGTTCTGAATTACTAGTATTAATATTTATCAGGACTGGCTCAGATATTGACCATTTTGTCTTATTGATACACAATTGTGTAAAATTACAATAAAGGTAAAACGTCGATTTGGTGCCAATTCAAGGATAATCTCCGTTATTCTACCTCTCGAAAATTCATGTTCTTATTGTTTAACATACCAATCGAAATTGCAATACATATTTTGTAATGTTTTACTGTATTATGACCATTCAAATGTATTCCATATCATAAATGGATCAGCTAAGTTATCAAAATCATATATATTCATCCAACGGTTTGAGCGAAATACAACTATACATAACAAACAATTTCCATGAGACTTTCACTATTATACAATTCTGAAAGCTACAGATATCCTTGCAGAATTAGTGTTAATGTCTAAAGAAGACAGTCTACTAATATGTATTCCGAAATCATCATTATACAGGTTGTTCCATCAAACAAATAGATAAATTAAGCATTGATTCATAAAAATTCCGACGGAAATAATACATGCACTTCTAAGCTTAATCATTTGAATCCTTACACGTTAGCAAAATCATAGAAAACCCAAAGATAGAAGTGAAGATAAAAATCACGCGGTATGTAGAGTAGGATCTACTTACTTTTCCAGAGCACCTGAGATCATCCCCGGTTTCTGGTGTGGTCCGTGTTGCTCAGTCTTGAGTATTCTATGTTGTGTGTTATATACTATTGTTTGTCTTTTGGTCTTTTCTACTTTTTTTGCCATGGCACTGTCAGTTTGTTTTCGACTTATGAGTTTGAATGTACCTTTTGTATCATTCCTCCACTTTTATATGTCCAGACAAAAAAAAAAGGGTAAAAATCTGAGTCAAAATAGTCGGAATGGTTTGAACCTACAACGTTGCATATGTACGAATAAGTCTATCGACATGAGCAGCACGATTACACTCATTAGTTTATCCTTAATGGTATTTATGTTCGTTTCGAAGATATGCATACCATTGAATGATTGGTATCTCATTATGGACAAACTGACTGTGTCAATTTTATCATTGATGTGTTTTTTAACTTGTATGAAATGCCGTTGTCTGACCAAACCTCATAAAGAAACTCATCAAAGATACCAGGCCTACCATTTCCTACGCATGACGCGGGTTTCGTCATCAAAGGACTCATATATAAACATTTAAAGCACCAAACAAAAGCACAGCGAAACATTACTTGATAGTGTTACCTTTCGAGAGCACCTGCTTTTGCTTTCGGTGTTTGGTTTGGTTCGCGTTTCTTAACTTTTAATTTTTCCTTGTATTTGATTTTTGGACTGTTGCTTGTCAGTATTTCATGTTGTCTGTCTTTTTTTCAAGTTAATGGTTTTTAGTCCCTGATTGTTTTAAAAATATATTCTAAAGTTTAAAAACAAATATATATACGACATATTCTCCAGATATAGTTATAGAATATGATAATACAATGTCTATACTTAATCTGGTTAAATCCAACGTAAAATCTGATTAAATCCAACGTAGAAAAATCTGACTAAATCCAACGTAAAATCTGACTTAATCCAACGTAACATCTGACTAAATTCAACGTTAAATCTGACTTAATCCAACGTTAAATCTGACTAAATTCAACCTAAAATCTGCCTTAATCTAACGTAAAACAATACGTGTTTTGTCTTAAACCATGATATTAGATATTTCTCATGATAATCATTCAAAACTTTATGACTGGACAACTATTACTTTGATGTTGTTAATTTTTCTCTCCTTGATGGTAATTTTCTAATAGTCTCTTAGTTGGTTCAATATGCATCTGTTTGCAGTAACGCCTCAGATTGCATTGCATCATTATAGACTTTTTTTGTCGGAGATGAAAATATACAACAAAACGAAACCAAGAGTAATTGAAACAATTCACATGATATAACATGTTTCAAGTAGTTAGATGATTCCATCATATTTACAGACAGTGATAAAACTAAAGATACATGCCATAATGATCTTCTTTATAATATATAATTTCGAAAACAACAGCGATGGCTTCATTAAATTTGTATTTATGCTTATAAAGGACATTCAACTGATTTCTACTCGGAAAGAAGCACATTGCAGGTTATTCCGTCAAACAATGGAACTAATTAAGCGAAGGCACCTGATGAGTCGCTGAGGAATGCATTAATTTTGAACGAGCATTAGTCTAATTTACATTATTCCATAGAGAGAATTGGATTTCTATCTATTGAAAACCTATTCACTATTTAATGATTCCTGAAAAAAAAAATGTATGTCAAGGGTAATTTGTCAATTGAAAAAAAGAAATAACAAATCATTGTATTACTCCTATATTTATAAATCATGGATTGTTAAGATTTCATATCTAATCATATTTCGGTTGACCATAGAATAAAATATGCTTGGAGATAGAAATATCACTGAAAAGTTTCTTGTTTCGTCTTTTATTTATCATAAATTATTTTTTAGCTGATCGTATTTATATGTCATTAAGATTCTACTTTTCTATACTTTTAGTACAAAATTAAACTATCAAAATGATTAAAAGTACGCCAAACAAGTTGATCTAGTCTGATATTCGTGTAAATATTTACAATAGGTAAAATGTAGTGAAAACGGTACTATGGCTTTCCAAAAAAAATATTCAAACCTAAATCTGACAATCTGGTATCTACTCTTTATTTTTACATAAATTAATCAATTTTAATGGACCTTTACTGTTAACAATTTACTTTATTTACAGCTTCAATTAAGTATATATATATATCCCTATCTACAAATGAACTCTTTTTGATAAGTGTAACTTTGATGACTTTTTTGTTAGACAAAATGCACGTCTGGTGTACATAAATTACAGTCGGCATGCATAAATTATAAGCTTGTATCTTTAATTAAAAATAATTATAATTATTTTCACTTACTTCCCAGTACAGAGGTTCAGTAGAATTTTGCATCGGAATAACTTCAGCTATATCTTTACAGGTTCCGTAGCAAATGTTGGCGGATCAGAAGTTTATAAGTGTGACGACGAGTCTGATCCAATCGTACAACTACCTGTGATTCCTGGTGTTATTGGAGCGCCATCAAGTGTTACTTCAATACAAGTAGCTACACTCCTTAAGCTATTTGAAATTCCACAGGTAAATTGTCTTTATTGCGTTTGCATGTCTCAATTTATAACTTCATTAACAAGGTCGTTTGTTTATACATTTGTACTATGAATATTGAATATAATTAATATAATATAATATTTTCAGCTTAAGATCATCCGTACATTGCAACACTTGTTTCAGCCGAAACCCAGCAAATCCCGGCAACAAATCTCGGTGCCCCCTTTTTTTATATTATCTACACATAATTCAATCCAGAATAATGCTATTAATTAAATATATTATTGAAAAAAGCAGAAGATGACACGAGGACAATAAAAACTCATGAGTTGAATACACACGAATAACACCTTGACCAAACAATAAAAATGACGAAAGGACAAAAAAAAAAGGTCTTCAAAACACTACACAAAAAAACTAAAAACTTAGCAACACGAACCCGGTCAAGGAGAAGAGTACACGATGCTTATAATGATAGGAAACACAAGCTTTTGAATATAGTATCAACTGGGAGATTTACATTCCATATGCAGACGCTGCTGGAAAGTTGCTGCATAGAAATGGAAATCATCTCATTTTGTGTAAAGTTTAGTTCACAACTGACCCACATTGTCAATGCTTATATGTTAGTAAATTTATGAGGCAGACTTAACTGTATTCATTTGCATCGATTATTTTAAGTTGAAATGGTAAATGTGTTCGACATAGACAGCACACTTTGAATTATTCGGTTAGACGACACCATCTATTTACCGGAACATTGGGTTAAATGATATTGCTAGCGTTTTTTCCTTTTCCCTGAGAATCTCATGTACGAAGTTCGATAAGAAGAGGAGTACAGCTGGTTCCCATAGGAATGCTGAGTGTCTGTTGAAAAAACACGTCTTTCAAACGTAACACGAATGTTGTCAATCAGAAAATCAATTATGATTATAAAAATAAGAAAATGTGGTAAGATTGCCAATGAGACAACTATCCACCAAATAAATTGGATGTTAGCCATTATAAGCAACCGTACGGCCTTCAACACTGAGAAAAACCCATACCATATAGTCGGCTATAAAAGTCACCGAACGAAACAACTCAATTGGAAAACTAAAGGCCTAATTTATAACAAAAAATTTGTAAAAAAACAAATATTACAGACATGAACCAACGACAACCACTGAACTATAGGCTCTTGACTTGGGACAGGCATATAAAGATACTGGCGGGGTTAAACAAGTTTGTTGGCGCCTAACCCTCTCCCTGACAAGGGACAGTGGTGAAAAAGTACAACATAAGAACAAACAATAAAAATCACTTGAAAACGGCTTAACTCATCCGATCAACACACAAAGCAGAAAAGCATCTAACAAAAACACAGACCGGACGTGGCAGGGTAATTATACTTCCCCACAACGAAATAGACACTAAGAACGTAAGTCAGTTTCTGAGGACTTTTTCTTTGAACCAGAGTCGTGTTTATTTACTAAGTATGCATAATTCATTCCGTCCTAAAACAATATATTTGTATATACGTAGGTCAATCAATTTCTGTCAATCTTTCTGAAAACTTAGATTTTATGTTTATTAATTTTTAAAATTTTAATATTTGTTTCGAAGACCAAAACTATTCATTATTGATTATTGATTATTGATTGTGTATGTCTACGCACAAAAAAAGATCGAATTCCTACAGCGATAAATAAAAATTAACTTTTTATACATTATGACTTGGATGGAGAGTTGTCTCATTAGCACTCATACCACATCTTCTTATTTATATTACATATTATCTACAATCATAAATACAATAGTTCATACTTGCCTTCAAAGATATTTTCGAAATTTCAAATGAGAAAATTCTTTGTTCTTTTAAGCCTCAAAACATCAATTTGTAATCCTTAAATAACTAACTGCTTTCAATGAATAAGGTATAATTAGCACCCTTTGGCATTGATGAAGTGTTAAAATACAACATTTTCAAATTGTCAGACAATTTTGCAGTAAAAGTGCAAGAATTATTTAAAGTTCATCGACTCAATGTTGAAAATTATTGTGGTCTGTTTATCGTAATTATTTCTTTGCATGTTTCTTCCGGGTATCGGACCATAATTAGAATGAATGTCAAATAAACATTTTTTTGTGATTTTTTAAAACAATAAATTTACACTGATTTAAGACAAACGTTATGTTCTCTGATACATTAGTTAAGTAAACTTTTGAAGCCAGTTTAAATGATCCATTGAATACCAGATGAAGAATGTGAATTCATTCAGTTTGTTTTTCATGTGAAATTAAAGTTTTTCTACATAATTATGTTATCAAAAACAAATGCTTCAATACGAAATAGCAAATAATTAAGATGGACCTAGGTGGACGAGTGGTCTAAGTAGTTCATCTCTAGTGATCGCTAACCTGTAACAACTGGGGTTAAGAGTTCCAAGGCAAGTTGCGCTCGACGACAATCTAAATCGACTAGAACTGTCAGTTTTTCTGCCGAAACTCAGTGGTTCTCTATCCGAGTATTCCGGCATCCCCAATCTATAAAACTGGCTTCCATGATATAGACAAGCGTGTTAAAATAGCATTAAGGAGGTACTTAGGTGAAATTAAACAAAAATCTAGAATTTAAAATTTATACTATAAGCCAGAAGAACATTAGTTAAGGAAAAAAATAGACTAGAAATATTGATTGGTTATGGAGCTCCTTTTCGAGATATTCATTTTTTTTTAAATGGCGGGAAAAGGCTGACTCAGACATTTACCTTATATTTGCATTGGTATTATTTGGGTCTCAAATCGAAAGAAAAGAAATCTAGAATCTGTTTAAATTTTGGTAAATGACCTTTTATGAGCTATTGAAGTCTTATATAAAAAAAAATGGGTGTTATGGGGCAAAATATTTTACCCTGTATCGTAGGAAAAAAACCAAGGAGTCCGAACATTTGACAAAAATTCCTAAACCTCACCTAAGTACCTCCTTAAGCATCATTTACCAACTAATCAAATAATTAAAATGCAAATCACCAAATAAATATCAATAATTGTATATGACGAGCGAATACAAATGTATTAAGGTGGTACATAACACTACAGGGAGATAACTCTGCAAAAATCACATGAACGTTTTAATCACGTTCTATTGTTAAGGAAATATATAGCTTCTCAATGATCAAAATTAGTGTTTGTCAAACTGCTATATAACCAACGAAATTTTTCTGATAAAGCGGTTGGTTCAAATTCTTTGAAATTTTTATATTTTTGTCAAAGGGTTAAAGTAAACATTATGTCAAAATTTTATGAAAATTAAACGAGCCAAATTAATTTTAGTCAAGGTGTTGGGTACCACCTTAAATTCATGTCATACACTATAACGTTATTGCACTAGTAATGACGAATATTGTCTTTATCAGAATTTTAATTGCTTAAACTTCCGAGGGCAATTAAACTTACAAGGGTAATTATTTACATAAAATATCACCGAGGTGTTAATCAAATGATTAAAATGCAAATTACCAAATAAATATCGTTATTTGTATATGACGAGGTGTTGCCATATCTTATGTTTTCTCTGTACAGATTTGTGGACTTGTTTGTCTTTTCATTTTATATTTGTAATCGTATGGATTGTTTGCCTTTCCCCATTGTGATACTGCTTTTTGTAGGGCAAACGAAATGAATGTCTGGGGATTGGATCTGCGTTATAAATTGCTATTAACAAATTTGAACTACTAAAATCGGTTTTTACTTAGGAACACATTAAAATCAATGATTTTAATCAGTATGCGCCAGACTTTGAATTAAAGTATACAACTTATTGCTATTTCCTGAACGTCAAACTCCTGTCAGAATTACATTGCGCTAAAGGTTAACCTGGAGTTCATTTAAGATTTATAAAGCAATTATTTAGTCTATGATGTCTGCGCAGACATAAAAATTGTTTGTGTAGGTATGGGGTTTCCAATTATTTAGTGACCAATATCAAATATCCATGTTACTATATTAAATAAATCAGATAAATATTAATAACGCAGCCCTATGATTTATTATTGACTTTTTTATACTTGTGGGATATTCCTAAAACGAATAATTGATTGTTATCGAAATTGGTATTGCACATGTATCCTCCCCGAAGGTATCACCAGACCAGTAGTCAGACATTCCCTGTTGACAAGAATTATAATTGATATGGTCATAATGCTCTTCAGCTTAGTACTTTATTTGTTTTTCAGTAAGGTTTGTTTATTCGAGCGTCACTGATGAGTTTTTTCTAACCGGAACCCGCGTCTGGCGTACAAAGTTTTAAGCCTGGTATATTTAACGATTTTATTTGCATACTTATGTTCTACAAAATTAGAGATTCGGGGTAATTTCTAATCCATCAAGGTAAGAAGCATTGGATGCATAGAATATTATATTACAAATTGACAAAAACTCAGTTTGACTAGAATTATTTATCAGGAATAATAGTAACCTGCAAACCGTTTGGTTTTTATTTTGCAGGCACATTTTGAAAACATCCACACTTAAACGTATGTGTCCCACTGCAACTGACTTTAACAAACATTTTGATGTTAATAACGGATAAAATAAGCTTGTTTGTTTCTTTTTATATTTAATTTGACGGAAATAGAAATGGATGCATATCATCTTTCCTCTAAATAAAAATAACAGACTATGTTTAAGGTATGTCTTTAAAACTGAAATATTAAAGAGTAGTTTGTTTGGCGAGGTCCTCTTTGCGGTCCGTGTTTACACAATGTCGATTTGTTTGAAAAATCCGAGACAACCATTTGGACTTGAAAAAAATAAAACTTCAAGTGCAAGTGAATTGGAGGATAAAAAACAATATATGTACATTTTGGAAATATAAAATGTATTTGTACTCACTACGAAACAGGAATAAAGCTCGACAATGTGCATATATTGTATATATTGAAATCAAATATAACAATATTTTCTGTTATTAAAATGGCATAAGTATGCATAATTACTGTAGAAATTACACAAAACATTCATGAAAACTGATATTTCAATTACAACTT